AACCCTGAGCCGGTGAGATTTGAACCGCTGAACTGCTGATCTAGCAGTCAGCCTGCAGTGCTGCATTTAACCACTGCGCCACCTTGGCTCCTGATGTGGAAGCCGAATTAATTGAACAGCCCTGTTACTAATTTAACAACAGTGATCCACTTAATAACTGTGGCAAGAAAGATCATAAAATGGGGCAAAATTCACTTAACAAATGTCTCACTTAGTAACATAAATTTTGGGCTCAGCAGTGGTTGTAGGTTGAGAGCTACACCTGTATTTCTCAACTTTGGCAACTTGAAGAGGCATGGACTACAACTCCCAGAATTTCTGAGCCAGCAAAATATTGCTGGCTGGAGAATCCTGTAAGTTGAAGTCCACACCACTTCAAGTTGTCGAAGTCGAGGAATACTGCTGTAAATAGAACTTGTTAAGCTTCCTAACATTATGTGGGACCTAATACTTAAGGCACGTTTGTTTTCATTAGATCCATACAGGTTTACAGCATCAAATAATTTGGCCTTGTCAGCCAAGCTGTGTCCCACTGGATGAAAAACTCCTGCCTGAGTTGCTTAAAGAAGCAGGCTATGTTACGCACATGGTGGGGAAGTGGCATCTAGGAATGTACAGAAAAGAATGTCTTCCTACCTATAGAGGATTTGATACTTACTTTGGTAAGCAAATGTATTTTCATCCTTTCTTTATGCTGAATACTAAGAATGTTCTATCATTTCCAGCAGCCCGGACTGGTTAGAAATCCAGTCAGAATTTCTTTTTTGATTGACCAAATTGTAATTGCCCGAGATAAATTATAGGCTAAGGCAAACTCCATAGGTTTCAAGCTCTGATGTCTATGTTCACTGAATGCATCAAGGCAAAACCATAGAAATGAAATGGAAACTTAGTGATGAGTGAACCTCAGGTAGAAGATTCTAGTGAACTGGGTACAATACAAGGAATGAAGCCCTTCAGATTTTAAACAAGTAATTTTGAGTGCACAAAAGTGAAACAAACATACACTATGTATAATTATAAAATGGATTTCTTTTGCCTGTTATTCAAATATATTCTTTGCTGGTTGTCGATAAGCATAAATGAACTGAATTCATAAAAGAAACATATCATAACTGATACGATGGGCATGTTGGACACTTTTGTAGGTTTATGAAGAGCTGCATCAGTGTTCCCCAGCCTTGAAACTCTCCAAATATTTTGCTCTTGTGGGAGTTGTAGTTTCAAAACATTTGAAGCACAGTAAGTTGGGAAAATTAGGTGATACTGCAGTAGTTGTTTCTGTAGAGGTTTCAGTTTCTAATATAATGTAAGTTTACTGCCTAATGATCTTCAGCTTCGTTGATGGCAGGTTCAGAGAAGAACTGGAAGCGAAAACTACCGTACTTTTTGGAGTATAAAACATACCTTTTTCCCCCAAAAAAGAGGGTGACAATCTGGGTGTGTCTTATACACTGAATACAGCATTTTTGGCCTCCCAAAACCTCACCCCCTTCACAAAAATGGACATGCAGAGGGTTTGTGAGGCCTGCAAAGTGCTCTTGGGGGCTGGGGAGGGCAAAAACAAATGAAAAACGGGCTGTTTTTTGCTTATTTTTGCCCCCCCCCCGATCCCCCAGGAGCACTCTACAAGCCCCTCTACAAGCATACAGAGGGATTGGGAGGTCTGCAGAGTGCAAAAACCTCTTTAAAAAATTTACCTCTTCAAAATCTTGGTGCGTCATATAATGTACACATACTCTAATTACTTTAATATCATCTCTCATAAAGCTGGAGAAGTCTTGAAAATATTCTGAGAGACAGAGCTTACCAGTCTGTGCAGAAATTGGTAATCATTGATGCATTTATTAATTTCAAGGATTCATAATATTCCAGCAGTCGTAAGAGAAAAATAATTTTTCCTTACTTGATAGTGGCAATTCCTGATTCTGACGAGTCTCTAAGTCACCAGTTGGTGTCAGTAATAGATCAGACTTTTTTACACTTGCCTGGAGAATGTGAACATAGTATGAGCAGCTGTTGCTGCAAGCCTGATTCAGTTTATTCTGCAAATTTCAAAACAAAAACAGTTGTTCTGTTACAATATTCTATAATTTCAATATACATATATTAAATGATATATTAAACCCCTTAATATATTACGGCATTGCTTTTAATAATTTTACATAATGTATCTATTTATACTTCTTTAAATGGAGGATGGAATACATTGCCAAATAAGTGATAAGAGTTTATTTACTTATTTTAAAAAACCTGAGAAGTTTTTTTTTTCAAGTTTAGGGCATTTCTGTAGTTCTTTCGTCCTGAAATTATACTGTAATTGATCATTTCCTGTTTTAGGCTACCTTCTTGGAAGTGAAGATTATTATTCTCACGAGCGCTGCGTGCCTATTGTGTCTAAAAATGTGACCAGATGTGCCCTTGATTTTCGAGATGGAGAAAAAATTGCCGAGGGATTTAAAAATATGTATTCTACTAACATATTTACAAAAAGAACTCTTGATCTTATAGCAAGTCATCAGACTGAGAAGGTATAATTGTATTTTTTGGGTCATACATCCATTTTTCAACATAACTAAATATTTCAATTTCATTTGAATGAGCTGTTGTAAGCAAAAGCAGAGGACTATTTGTATGGATAGGTTCCTTATTTAAACATGCATTATTTCCAAGAAAAATAGTCTGGGTTCTTCCATTGCACGAAGTGAGGTGTCATCAGTTGTTTCAAGCATGAATTGCTATTATTCAGTTTTACATGAAGTTGTAGGTGCCAGTAAATAAATAATTCAAAATGGCAAAAATGTTAGGTATTTACGGGATTCATTCCCTAAATCTGTAAGATGGGAACATTAACACCTCATGAGATTTGAGGCTATCGTGCATGATTGTGAATAATTTAAAAATAAATATTATTGTATTATTTAAGGCTTCTGAATGCTATCTGGAAGTATGTAGTTGACATGGTATCTGTTGATTCTATGTTGCTGGTCCCTAAGCTAAAGCATGGATTATTTAATTATGTTTCATAGCTAAGCCACAGTTAACTAGGTTCACATATACTAATCATGCTAAAAGGCACAATGGGGTCACATGTTTAGTTACATATCCATGAGCTTCTGTTTCTCTCCTGCCATCCTCACCTTTGTCATATCTTACATAATAGGTTTTATATCATTTTGAATCCTGGGTAATCTGGATTCTAAGTTGTGGGTGGAAACTTCATGAAGTTTCTTTGCAAGAACTAAAATAAAGGGCAGAAGTAATGTTGGAAATTATGGAACCATGGTCCAACTGCCTTTAAACTATTCACACCTTATTGTAAATGTTTGTCAATGCCTTTGGCTCCTGAACATGTTTCTCCAGCAAACAGAATTCAGCTGCCCTATTCTCTATATTGTAAATGTTTTAAAGGTTTTTTAAAAACTAAACAAAAGTTGTGTTCAGAGATTATTCTCATTATCAGAACTTCACAGACATGGAAAGCTCTTTTCTCAAGTGCTTTTTACCCTATCCACGTGAAAATATAAGGAAGGAAGTATACATAGATCAAAATGTTATCATGTGTTCTTCTGATTGTTTCATTTAATGCTATGGTATCTCCCCCCCTTTTTTTTGGTCATGTGTGTGTTTGTGTTACAGCCATTATTTCTTTACGTTGCCCTACAATCTGTCCATGAGCCCCTTCAAGTACCTGAAAAATACATAGAGCCATATTCTTTTATCAAAGATGAAAAGAGACGCAAATATGCTGGAATGGTTTCCATAATGGATGAAGCTGTAGGAAATATCACTTCTGCCCTGAAGAGATATGGCCTTTGGAATAATACCATTCTCATCTTTTCTACAGGTAAGAATGAATAATTAAATATATAGGTACACAGTGATATATCAACTGATACAGAAAGTAGAGGGCAGATTGCTGTGAAAATGGCTATTGTAGAATAACAATTGCACTGGTCATCTGTGGGCTGCCGGAACCAATTCAAAATAGTGGTCATTCCCTGTAAAGTCCTATATGGTATGGCCCTGAATTACATCATTATGATTCTGTCTTATCTAAATGTACAGAAAAGTCCTGTAGATCCAAACCTGAAGTGAGATAAAAGATGTGTAAACCACAAGGAAGGTGGTCTTGGTACTAGTTTCCCCATTGTGGAACATGTTGGTCTCCCCAGATACCTTTGACCCCTTCACTTCTGGGGTTTCAGAAAGCATTAAAGCTACTTTTTTTATTAAAAGTTTTTTTATTTTTAGTTTTCAAAACAGACACAACACAAAAAANTTCAACCTTAAACTGTCTACCGTGGACCTCACCCCTAAGAGGTCCTAAAGGAGGTGTGCATAAGCGCACCAGCGTGTCTTCCGTTCCTGTCCTAATGTCCCCATTTATTTGTACTCATTTCCTTTGTTCATCTCTATGTTTATACTTGTTATCTTGTACATGTTTGACAAACATGTAACAACTCTTCTTGCTCACTTGTATGTTCGCAGCTGGCTCAATTTCCCTTTTCTATCTCCAAGATGCGGATTGTATGTCCTTCCAACTGTTCACTACAGCCACAGCCCCATTCAGCAAAGGGGAGGACGAAGGATACTAGAAGTTGTCTTCCAGCAAGATTGCACTGTTGCAAACCTGTTCTCTGAACTGGGAACTCTCTAAATGGGGGGCACCGGGCACAGTTTAAGGAGCACGAAACAGGCCGGGCGGTTCTCGGGGTTGCACTCTGCACCTACTATTAAGTTCATCCCACTATGGAGATACTAGCGAAATCGCCCCAAACCCAGAAAAAGGCGCTTCAACCGAACCAGCGGGCTTCTAGTCCCGCCTCCTTTCATTGCCCTGGGCGATGCTGCTTCGTCCGGATTGGGCGGCTACGCTGACTCTGATGGTGGTCCCGCCTCTCGATCATAGTTCTTCCTTAGAGGCGGGCGGTCGACCCAGTTCCTGCTTGCTCAGGCGAGCAGCGATGGTTCCGAGGTTCCTGTTCCTGGGGCTGCAGGTCTTATTACAACTGTGTCGTCTGAATGCAGGGTCCCCAAGCTCGTCGCCGCATCTGGTCTTCATCCTGGCCGACGATCTAGGCTGGAACGATGTGGGCTGGCATGGCTCTCAGATCCGCACTCCGAACTTGGACGCGCTGGGTGCCGGCGGAGTGCGCTTGGAGCGCTACTATGTACAGCCCCTGTGTACTCCCTCTCGCAGTCAGCTGCTGACCGGCAGGTACCAGGTAGGCGCCAAAAGGAGATGGACTTGTCCCCAGGAAAGCGAGATGTATAACAACATTGGCTGGTTCTTTTCTCACCGCGCTCTTCTTGCAGAAGGCGGTAAACTGGTGCTTTGAAGCTACTCAGATAGGCGAGACTGTTTTATAATAAGGACTCCTATTATATATTAGTATAGGGTCTCCTGCTTGAATAGGGGATTGGACTAGAAGACCTCCAAATCAATTATTCCGTGTCCCATAAAGAATTAGAGTGCAGAGAAAAGCAACAAAGATGATTAGGAGACTGGAGGCTAAAACATACAAAGATTAGTTGCAGGAATTGGATATGTCTAATTTAATGAAAAGTAGGGCTACAGGTGACATGATAGCAATGTTTCAGTATCTAAGGAACTGCCACAGAGAAGAATGGGTCAACCTATTCTCCAAAGTACCTGAAGGGAAAACAAGAAGCAATGGATGGAAACTAATCAAAGAGAGAAGCAGCCTAGAACTGACATCTCCTGACAGTGGAAACATTTTACCTCCAGAAGTTGTGGGTGCTCCAACACTGAAGGTTTTTAAGAAGCGATTGGACAACCACTTGTCTGAAATGGTATAGGGTTTCCTGCCTGCCTGGGTCAGACTAGAAGACCTCCAAGGTCCCTTCCAACTCTGTTATTCTGCTGTTCTGTTATTCTGTTGATTAAACTTGAATTGGAGAAACGTTAGATCACATTAAAGCCCATCTTGATTTTCAGAACTGGATCAAGTACGATGATTTTCTGACAAAAATATATCATTCATAAATTGAAAGAAAGCATGACCAGATAATGCAGAATGACATGGGGTGGAAAATTCAAATTAAACATTTTATTAAAAGAGGGATGTAAAATGTAGACTTTCCCAAGAACCTATTTAGGCCCAGTTATTTTACCTGATGTTAAAGGCGAGCAGGGGAGTAGTCAAATTGCTGATAATTTAGGTTTAAATAATGTGAATAAGAGAATCTCTATAAATTAGGAAAGGGGTGTTAAGAGCAAATATAATTAAATTTATAAGTTCACATTATACAAGTGTAAAGGGATGTAGGAGAGACCCAGGTTCAAGTGTTAACCATAAGAATTACTCACTTGCTCTCAGCCCAACCTACTTCACAAGGTTGTCGTTACAGAGGGAAGTTAAAGCAAGTGAGGAGTATGTCACTGAGCTACCAGAGGAAAGATCAAGTAGGAAAGTGATGAATTAAATACATGGGGCCAACCCTCTTATTTTTATGAATATATTGATTGATGGTTTGGGAGAATGTTGGAAAATCCAGGTGAGCCTAGCTCCTTATGAAAAAGGCAAGTTCTGTGTTGGAGATTATTAAGAAATGAATTAAAAATCAAACTGAGATTGTAGAATAGAGAAAGAGATAATAGAGAAAGGGATCAATCCTGAAACACTATATACCACTCTATGCATAATAGTTCAGAAAGAATATTATAGAGCTGTAAAAGGTTCAGAGAAGAGCTCACTTCTAAAGAAATATTGCAATATTTGGGATATTTGCCTTTTTTTAAAAAAGCAAATAAGATATAATAGAAATGTGTGCAAATATAGTTAGTGTAAAGAAAATAAGAGTCAATCAATCATGCTGAATTATGGCAGTTTCAGGTCAAATGAAAGAATGCATTTCACATTGGACACATTTAAATGTTGAATTCCTGCAACAAAATAAAAAGATGCTTTGGATTAAAAAAACCAGTTGGGATAGTTAAAGGGAGATGAGAAACATAATGCTTTTGATTTGTTTAGCCTCACTTTGTACAAATTCAGCCAGTTATTTATTCAGTGTGTTGCTTAAATCAGTCTTAAAGATGTAAGAAATTATCTTCTGCTCTTAAGATACAGTCAAAATGGATAATGTCTGTTCACGAGTTCTCTTGCGGCTTTTAATTTTATTATTTTTAAATGGGGACATTGTGCATTCTTAAACTTCTCTATTCTGCTGTGGAAAATAACTTATAAATGGAAGCACCAATATTTTTTCCCATGTTAGCAACATGTTTAGTAATAAATTCCTTTTGCAGAATAGGAAATGAGGGAGTAGAAAACCACAAAGCATTTTCTACTTTTCTGTTAGTAATATACCCAAAATATGTTAATAATAGAACTGTGGGAAGAAACCAACTAAGAAAAACTAATTAGGGTAGTTTTTTTTCAATTAGCACCTGTGACTTAAGTAACTTTGTGTTTATAAGTGCTTCTTGTTGCTCAATATTTTGAGTTGATTCCCCCTCCCCCCCTTTTTTTAGAGTGAATGTATTGCACCTAGGAAGTCTGACATTATCCATTTGGAAGGAGAAGCAAAAGAATTTTGGCAATTCTGAAGAAACTTGTAAGAAATTTCTGTTTCTTACAACATCCCAAATTGCACCAGCATGATTGGTTCCTATAAGAGACCACAATGTTTAACTTCTCTTCGAGAATATTTTTTGTAGGATAAAATGTATACATAGATAAAAGGCTTGCTTCTTCAAAAGTCTTGCTTCAAGAATGAGAATTGTACCCCTTACCTTCCCCATTGCAAAAATTGAGATGGAGGCCAAGAGTTTGCTTCAAGGTGTTCTCAGAAACTTAGCCCAATGCTTATTCTGGATACCATTCACCTTTTCTGTATGAAAATGTATGTGTGAAGCAGAGGTGATATTCAGCAGGTTCTAACCAGTTCTGGAGAACTGGTAGCGGAACTTTTGAGTAGTTCGGAAAACTGGTAAATACCACCTCTGAGGGGCCCCGCCCCCATCTATTCTCTGCTACTTAACAGTAACCTTCCCCTGCCACACCCACCAAGCCATGTCACACCCACCAAGTCATGCCACGTCCACAGAGCCAGTAGTAAAAAACTTTGAATCCCACCATTGGTGTGGAGAGCTTTAACTTCCTGTCTACAAATCAACACATGAAGCCAGTTAAGATTCATCATACAGAGACCTAGATTTGCAGCAAAGATATTTTAAGCAAAATAGAGTTGTAATATTAGTATTGTGTATCCTCCTTATTTATCAGATCTTTGAACATATTATGAATTTGAATATGAATATAAACTCACCTCAATCCATTCCCCAGCATCTGAGAATGCTCAATGTTTTAAAATCTAATAAATACAAATACACCCATTACTGCTTGTATGTTGTATTGTAGTTATGACCACATTTGGGACCAGAACTTCTATCACTAAGTGAGACCCTTAAGCTCCAGTTTTATGACCTTTTCTGCTATGGCCATTAAACAAACCTCCAGGTCATTAAGTGAATCATATAGTTGTCAAATGAATCTGGCTTTTCCCATTTGCTTGTTGGAACCCAGCTGGAAAAGTCACAAATAGTGATTGCATGACCATGGGACACTACAACCCCTATAAATGCATGCCAGTTGCCAAGCACCCAAATTTTGATCATGTGATCAAAAGGATGCTACAATATTCGTAAGTGCAAGGTCTAATTGTAAGTACATTTTTCAGCTTTGTTGCAATTTTGAATGGTCATTAAATGAATGGTCGTAAGACAAGGAGTACCTGTATTCCTTCATAAGATCTCACAAAGCCTCAGCATTCATGGGATTTCTCAAGATTTGAATAATTCAGAGAGGATGTTTCTTG